AGGACTATGATGAAGAGGAAAATGGACAAACACTTGATCAGAATAGCTCAGGTTAGCTAAAAAGGAATGAATCTACATAAACACCGAAAAGTAAAAGGTCAAAAGGTCATAATTTTTCAATACAAAAAAGTAAATATAATCCTACTGTTCATGAATGCATAAAATTAAAATTAACTTCATTTTATATATTAACTGTTTTCTGTCAGTGACTTTGAACTTGTCAGACTACCAAAATTCACATACGTATATGATCAATTATATAAATACTGCTCCAATATATCTTTCAGTGATATATACATTGCTTTGGCTTCATATATTGATGAAGGACGGTAATAGTTGCAGATAACATCAAATGCTTCCTTAATATCTTTATCGAAGTCATTTTCAAAACGGCACTGGCTCTTCAAAAACTTGAACTTCTCCTCATTCACATTGAGAGGATGGATGTAATTTTTACATTCTGGAGTATTTGAAAGAATTTAATCAAAAAATTGAAAATGTTCTTCATTATAATACCATTTAGATAAAGCTTTCAATGCAGCATTAGCCTTGAAAGTTAACAAAGAATTTCATTAGCTTTTGTGCCCTAAGGCCTTATCTGGCACTTAGCCATATATTAAACATTTATTTATTACAGGTACACTTAATTTTACACCTTACACCCAGTTAAAAATTTTCCATAATTACCGGTAAGTGCAAAAGAGTTAATTTTAGGTTTACACTATTTACACCCTGTGCAGGGCATGTGTAGGGAATTGCAGCAAATATTCAATATGGCTGAAAATTGTACATACAGTAACACTTCAGATTTCTTTTCTCATATTTTATTTTACTGACAAGTATTTGATAAATTGATTGAGATGAATTGTGTTTAAGAATTTGGACTGTGTTTAGTGCATTTCAAAGGAAAAATGAAACAATTGGTATTTTGTAAGATTTAAAATAAAGAAGTTCAGAAGATAAAGTCACTACATATTTTCAACTACATACTTTAAATTTGGGCTAGATACTTTGTTACTGAAGTTTTTATGGGCGGTAATATATATATCAAATTTTTTTTTTATAAAATGATACTTGCCTTTCCATAAAATGTTTTATTATACATTTAGAAATTTGTTCATACACAAATCTATGAGGAAAGAAGTCTAAGATTTCTAATGTTTTGCTGAACAAACATAAAAAAAATTGATGTTGGGCTGTTGAGTGAGAAGTTGGACAGGTCGATAAGATGGACCATTTACGTCATGGAATGGGTAGAGCTTCACAGCCTCAGGCAGACAGTTTGGTTCTTGGGTCCGACAAAACGCATGTTGCACTCAAACTGAGTCAATAAATGTATATTGTTATACCCTTATAAATAGCTTTCTATATTATGTTTATTACTAATAAAAAGTCCAACAAAAGAAATGTTTATTACATTGGTCTAACAATTTCAAAGTTGACTGTCCTGCGATCTTATTTTCTACATTCTATCAAAATGAATACATGATATACAATGAACATTTTATAAATCAACTGTTAAGTTTTCAAAAATCTTTTGTGATGTAAACTTTCAGTTCTTTTATTAGTAAATTTAATTTCTACAATTTTTTTTCTGGTAGTCTAATTTTTCTTTAAAATCATTATGATTTGATTAGAGAAGCATTTAATACTGTTTTCCTATTTGATAGAAATGGACAACATATTTAGCTAATATAGCTTTTCCTTTAATATTTTACTGGAATATTCTTATTAACTTCTTGGTCATTATCATACTTTTTTTGGTATTTCTAAAATGAATGTTTTTCAATTCATATATCTATTTAAATGATACCTGGTAAATAATTTTTGAATTGTTCATGTAATCATATCACATTATTACTAAAAATATCTGACCTAACATTTCTGGAACATGATAAAGTACTTCTGGAATTCCAGAAACAGTATCTCCCCTTTTCTGGCACCTGATGCGATGGTTATTCCACGAAAATTTAACTTCCTCCAATTCTGTCCTAATAATATTCATGTAGCAATACTGAACTAAGGCCCTGAAAATAAACATGAAAATCTTAATCTCTTAAATTTACAGACCCTGCAAATGCTTAATTTTAATTTGAAACTATCAGTTTCTGCAAAAGAGGAAATTGACACAAGTTACAGTGCTCAAATTTAAAAGTACCGGATACTATACTGCAACTATTAAGACAATGTAGCAAGCATCATTTTTAATACAGATATAATCAATCAATAATTTTCATATTTCCCAAAAAAAAAAACAACAACAACAACAGCAGCAACAACAACAAGAGGCCCATGGGCCTTATAGGTCACCTGAGTATCAAGCAATAATTTTCCAACAATTGGATTTGATTCATGTTTTAAACCAAGGGTCATGAAATTACTTTGGTTACTTAATACCAGAGGTAGATCAGAATAACAAAGAGAAAATGTATTTCCACTTTATCAGTTGTGCATCCCATCCCACAGGAACCACTGACCCTGGAGCCACATCTTTCAAAATTTTGGAAATTTTATAAATTTTATTTCATCATGTTGTGGATTAATACCGAAGTGCAGATTTCAAAGCATTAAATAATTTTCAGACTATGTAACGCCCCCCCCAAAGTACCTCTGTCCCAGGGGCCAGAAAATTAACCATTTTGGGAAAAAGCAGCTTTCTTTGTCATAAATATAATTATACCAAGATCATTGCCATAATACCCAGGAACAAAGGCAAAGATATTCAAAGAATTCATGCATTTCACTAAATAAATATTAGAGCCCTGCCTTAACACAAGATATATATAGATGATTTGTGCCAAAATTGGTTGAAAATGGTTCAGTGGTTTCATAGATGCTGAAAATGTTCAAATGTTAAAGCATGACGAACGATGACAGGTGAAAACAGATGGCAATAGGTCACCTGAGTTTACTCAGCCGTCAGGTGACCTAAAATTATTGAAATATTTTTAAGGAAGGTGAGAAAAAAAATAAATAGAAAAAAACTTACGTATGTAATTTATCCCCAATTGTAAAATCACCATTCTTTTCCAATTCCTGAAAAAATGCAGATATACATGAAGAAATATACCAATGGGGAAAAAATATCTTGAAATCTGTCTATGGATATCAATTCAATATATGCCACTGTTGTTCAAAATTAATAGAGTCAAAAAATCATACCTTTTACATTTTAATATGTAACATTTTTGCATAGTGAATTTTCAAGTTCTTTACTCTTAGAAAATATTGAAAACAAGATGTGTTAGTGAAATACTGATGCCCTTGTATGACAGCTCATTGCAAAGGTTAAACTTTTTTAAATGTACATTTACCTCTTAGGTAAAGGTCGTGAGGAAAGAAACCACACTGGTATTCAAAAGGCATTTTGGATACAAGAGTTAAACTCCTTGATCAAAAAGTCCATTATGTTGGTACCCATAGAAAGGTATTGATACATTAAAAAAAAACACATAAAATATGAAAGCCCTAGCTCCAGGAATTCAAAAACTAAGGCCAAAGTACAAGATTTTGATGACAAATACTGAGACAGATGGGCAGACCAACCAGACATATCTGTCTAAATTGTAGCTCTTACAATGCATAACAAAGGAAGAGAAAAGTAGCAGTATGAGTTGTATTTGTAGAAAAAAATCTCTGACCGGTAAACCTAAGAATTATAAGCACCACACATATTCAATCACAGGGCCATAAACATTACCTTAAAGTGATGAATCCATCTATCTGTACACTTCCCTCTCAGAATTCCCCACCATCTTTCTATCCTCTATAAATAATAATTCATGTGTCATTATTTACCAATGATCACATCCTACATGTATACGAAATTTATCTTATAAGCAGAATCATCAGTACTTAATTAAAGCCATTACATTGCTGGGATGATATTTCAATGTATTGATTCTCTGCTACACTACACTAGTCTACAGGCTGACGAACACGATCATGACGATGTTGATGCTGTGCGAATCCATCTGCGTCATTGGAAATCTTGGCCAAATCAAATCTCTATCTCTGGGAATCTTGGCCGGTTATCTCGTAGAAACTTGGGAATGATCGAGGTCACCCAAAATCTTGGCCATGGCCAGGGTTAGCCTGGGCATGCCAGGGTTTAAACTGCCAGGTACGCAAGCCAGGCCAGCATGGGATTGGCATGCTGCAAACATGGATTGGCCAGGCTAGGGTGGACGGCCAGGGTTAAAGATGTAAACATGGCCAGGCTAGGGTGGACGGCCAGGGCTAGCGTGGGCATGCCAGGGTTAAAAGACCCTGACCCTGGGAGTTCCAGGATGCAAGCATGGGAAGGCTAGGATGGACGGCCTGGGTGTACATGTATTATGGGTGGTCATGGTTAAAGCTATAGATTACATAGACCCTGACCCTGGGAGGTCCAGGATGCAAGCATGGGAAGGCCAGGGTGGACAGCCAGGGTGTACATCATGGGTGGCCAGGGTTAAAACTATTGATTACATAGACCCTGACCCTGGGAGGTCCAGGATGCAAGCATGGGAATGCAAGGGTGGACGGCCAGGGTTTACATCATGGGTGGCCAGGGTTAAAACTATTGATTACATAGACCCGGACCCTGGGAGTTCCAGGATGCAAGCATGGGAAGGCGAGGGTGGACGGCCAGGGTTTACATCATGGGTGGCCAGGGTTAAAACTATAGAATATATAGACCCCGACCCTGGGGGTGCCCTTATGGCTTTCCATAATGATGAACTAGTTTGAAGTTTTTATATAAGATCTATTCCATAGTATCAAATCAAAATTGCATAAATTTTGCATTTTTGGATGTACACATTTTGTCGGTTAATTGTGTGGCTTTGTCTTACTTAAAGACAACATTCGTTGAGATGAGCTCTGTACGTAATGTCTGATTACCTATGTTTACAACTTTAATGTGTCCTTTATTTCCACAATTCCAACATTCAACACTCTGATAGTTTGTTGCTCGTTTTACTGAATACATACATTTTCTCTCTGGTATTGTTTTTGAAAGGCGTTTAGATCTATAATGGTCGACCTTCATGGGTATATGGGTCTGTTCATACCCGAACTGATTTCGATTTCAGGTTTTGTTCAGCCATAGCACAGTTTATAGCTGCTTGCAAAGTTGCAGGGTTTTCACGCATGACCTTGAATTTCAATTTGTCTTGTAATAAGCCATCGACAAATATTCCGATCAATTGACGTTCAACTGAAGGTCCTTCTTCGAGACCTTTATATGCTGCTTGGGCCAATGACAATAATCTTTTGGCAAAAATCAGAACATTTTCTTCGGGTTTTTGGTGAACTTTTCGTAATAACATGAACGCATGCTGAGAATCTATTACTTCAGCAAATCGTGTGGAGAATTCATTTTTCAAGGCCTTCCAGGTCCCCCTTGGGTTATTCGGGAATTTCGTGACCTTTTCATCTGATAAATTGTTCATGAAAGAATATTTTTCAACTGATTTTATTGCCTGACGTCACGGCGTCAGGCTGTATAAGGATTGATATTTCCAAGATCCGAAAGTGTGCGATCATCTGTTGAAAGAGCTAGATTTTGTGCAAGCTGATTTACATTGGCATTTTAAAAGAAACAGTTTTCAGAGAAAAGAATGATATTGCTGATGCAATTCACTGAAGTGTTTATTTCCTCTACTCTTTTGCAAGGAACAGATTTTTCCATGTAATTTGCCGTTTCAACATATTTATAGTTTTTTCTGCATTTCTATAATACTGGATCAGTCCATTTATATTCTACGAAAGGGGTGCATAGCTCTTTTTGCGCCAAATGTCACTAGTAAGCTCTTTGGATTGTTCTATTGTATGAATGGGTGTGCCAACTTCCAATGAAAACCTCATTCTAATGCCTCAAAAATTGTATCTACAAGTTTTATATCATTCTGTAAAACAACATATCGTATACATCAGTATATTGACATGCAACACTAAAGAAATGATTTTTCTAATTTGTTTCCGATCCCGCGGTTGGTCTATTCCATAAATGGACTAGTCCAATAATAATAAACAACGCAGTTCAAGTCATCGTCTCCAGATGCATGATCTATTATATGTGTCTTTTCAGATACACAATAAATAAGAAAGCAGTGAAAAAACTTGGATTTTTAAGATTTCTCTTTCCACCAGGCCTAAGGTGTAAAAAATGAATTTACTTATTTCATTCTCAACATATGATAGTGTCACTATAACCCCCCCCCCCCCCCCCGTTAACAGGTCGAGGAAACTATTTTCTGTGACGTCGGAATAAATTTACATGTTACGTGAGCAACCAACGTGACTGACAAATCGACCAATCAGCCCAACGAGTTGCAGTTTACTACAAAAATACTACATGTACACGTGTGTTTCTAAAAGGCCAATTTTTTAAATCGCTATCGGAAAAACGTGATTCATTTTTCCAAGCATTTTACATACTTAATACAATATGAACATCATTATCTACTAATTCCATGCTCACATTTATATACAAATGATTTACAATGATAAAAATTAGGTTTTTCTCTACTCCATTGTACAAGTCCGTTTGTTGACAGTTTTCCCGTGACTATTCCTTGGTCCAAAAAACAATCAACTCTGAGGTGTGTCACGTTATTGTCAATGTTTCCAACATATACAACTTTCGAAATATATGCTACTCACGTTTTATGATCAATGTGCATGAGGGTTTATATAACAGGTAAATAATAAAAAAAAGTGCAACTTAAGAATTCTTTTTCTTTTTTTCTTTTTTTTTTTTGCTTATAAAATGCAACTTTTAATCTCTAGTAACATATAATAACCGAGCAACAACTAATTTAACCAGTAACATGGCAAATTAACGAATATCGAGTTAAAAACTTGAGTCTTATTAACTTGTGAAGACTTTGTGAGTGGTATTTCAACGTACTATTTAACAAGGAAAACTTACTTTGTTTGTTAATGTGAGCATGGGGAATCTTAATTAGTATCTAATCTTCGTATTTTTCATAACACATTTCAAAAAAATTGTTAGCTGACTTTGCAGCAGTCGTTTGAAATCGCGTATAAATTTCCTGACCCACGTGTTTGTAGTAAAAATAAACATGTAGTAGACTATCATGCTTTTCGGCTCGTTCACTGGATTGGATCATTGTTTGCTGTGAGCAGCTCTGTGCGCAATCGCAACAATATCCATATGAGATAGTTTCCTCGACCTGTTTAAGAAGATATCCTAGGTTATACAATGTAGCTTGAAATCAATTTAGATGCAAGGGAAGATCACTCCACTTGCAGACCCCCCCCCCCCCCACACAGAATAATAACTCTTTTGTATGCTGTGCAGAGATGATTCTTCTGCAAGTAAAATAAAACCAAGATTTCAATTACACAGGGTTCTCAAAATATAAAGTCATAGGACATGTTTTAAACCCATAAAGGTATTTATGCTCAAAAGGTTTATCACTCTTCATGCAGATAAATTGATTGATTTAGTCAGGCAAGCTTTTTAAAAAGCTGTTACTTGTACAATCTTTAAATTTGCCAGGATCCCCCTCATACGGTATTATTATGTTTGAAATCCTATTTGTACCAACTGCATTTGATAAACCTTTTTATTATATACCTAATGTGTATCACTCAATTTTACTGTTGATTTTACGCTATCACGTGACGTCGTGATCCGATTTCCGGATCACCAACATGTTGTTTTCTGAATCCATATCACCACTCTCTGAAACTGATGACGTAGTACGCAGAAACGTGACGTTATTTTTCTTGCGCGTTAAAAAGTCCCTTGTTATTACGCTTTGTTTAATGGATAAATATTATAGAATTCATCTCTAAAGTTTTATTTTGCTAAACTTAGCTAGTTATAAATGGGTATATAATAAATCTATCATTATAACAGTAACTTGATCCGAAGAGCCGTATCACGTCTCGTTGACAGGCGCGGATCATCAGATCAAACTCGACGCTTCGCGTCTCGTTTGATCTGACGATCCGCGCCTGTCAAAACGGTTCAACATGTCTCGGTTGTCAATACTTTAAAATTAAGGTACAATAAAACAGTTACTTACAGTAGTCTTGAGTGTCTTTCGCTTTTCAGCGTGGAGAGATTTCCTGTTCTGGTCCTGGTCCATGGCACCAATTAATGCGTATATATATAACATGATTAACAAATGTGTTTGGATTAAGAAGACCTTGTAAGTTTATAGTTTTATTATATAGTCACAGCAAATGCAAAAACAATGGTACATGAAAAGTTCAATAACAAAGATACTGGAGCCAAGATGGGGAAATCTAGAAGTTATTGTTTCACAAAGGTCTTAGAGCTAAGTTCGTCAAGACTCTCATAGTTCGTCTCGGAGCTAAGATGTTAAAAGCTCTCATAGTCCGTCTCGGAGCTATTGATACTCAGTGCACACGTCTTTTGTACAAGAAGCTGCATCATAGGGATCACGTATATGGTAATTGCAATTAGTAAGTCAGAGTGTCACTTCATTAATATTAATATAGTCTGCCCCTTACTGAAGCTCCGTCTCCCATCTCCTTATAGGGTACAGCAATGTCCACAGTTTACATTAACATTGTGTACCCTGCACATTCTTCAGTTAATTAGATGGCTGAAGCTTTGCACAAAGTCTGATTGGAAGTGTCTATGTTCGGGAACAGCACATCGTAAAAACTAATAGTATATCAAATGAAGACGCTCTCTTGTTATACCCAATCTAGCAGAGTTTGTAAACAAGTTGATTTCATACTAGAACAAGATGTGTTTGTGAAACACTATGCACCCGGCGGCA